TTGACGAAATTAAAAAGCTAGTAATTATTTTACTTATACATTTTAATATTTTTATATGAATTTTAATGTTTTATTCATTATTTTAAATTTATTTATTACAATATTTAAAGAATATTTAATTTTTCAAAAAAAAATTATTATGTCTTTTACGAATTATACTATGAATTTAATCAATTCATTATTAGCACTTTCAAATAATCCGTTAACGAAGCATTATCGTTTGCCGGTTATGTCAGTTTAGGCTAGGGTCTTAATCACCACTCACAGAGATGTACTTGCGTAGTGCTTACTGCGCATCAAACGATTCTATTCCAGTTTTGTAATTTTCAGAAACGCAGAAATAGAAATCTTACATGACATACAATTTGAATACTTTCAAAAGAATTATAAAGAACTATTAAATCTTTTGAAAGAAATATAGAATTATTTCAAACATTCTCCGAAATTATTTCTGAAATTTCATTTATACCTTTTCCTAAAATATTAAAAAGGATTTATTTCCAGTTTAGTAAAAATAGAGAAAAGTTTCATTTATTATACAAAACATTTATAAACAGTCATAGAATTTTTTCCATATCTTCATTTCCTGAAGAAATTTTGTAATCTTTCTTGAACAAAGATTTTCCGTGTACATACTTTGGATATTTATACCTGTCGAAGAACGCAATACAACGTTCGTTAGGAGAGGATTATAAATCGAATGCTCCACCAACTGAGCCACGGATGCTCATGAAAAAATGGATTTTGAATTTTCAAAATTCAATATGGCCGACATTTTTTCAAAATTGATCAAATTTACATAAAACTTGTTACTCGGGGGTTTTCGGGGTCGCTGATTACGAATCTGAAGTCAGCTTTACAAAATTCAAAATGGTCACCTCGAAAACCCCCGAATAGCAAATTTTAAGGGAATTGGAGCAGATTTGAAAAAAATGTCCTCCATTTTGAATTTTAACAATTTTAAAATTTTTTTAAATCTCACTTTAGAATCGTAATCAGCGATCCCGAAAACCCCTGAGTAAGAAGTTTTAGGCGAATTTGAAGAAATTTTGAAAAATTAGATTTCTCTATTTTCTTATAAATATTAGGTATTATTTTTTTAATTGTAGCAGCAGCCATTCGGAATAGAAAAAAATTCACCACAAATTAATTGGTTTACTTTTATAAGAATAACATAAATTTTTTTAAGTATGGGGCATACTTAAATTACGTAACGCTTTTTTTTGCAATTCTAGACCCCCCCTCCACCATGTAACAAACTTTTACATACATTAGCGCCATTTTTTTGCTGAGTGTAACAAATATCTTGACCCCCTACCCCCTGAAGCGTTACGTAATTTAAGTATGGCTCCTATGACACATATGTCCCGGAGGCACGAAAGGGTTAAATATTGGCGCCAAGAAGTAGTAATAAGAAGACTTAACTTGTTAGTAAGGAATTTCCCCACTTTAGGGAACATTTTAATGTAAATTCAGAGCGTATCAAGAGTGGCGTTTCTTGCAGGGAAATTCAATTTGATAACGGTTAGTAATTAAAAATTAGTAGTAGTGTATATAGACGTTATAAAACATACAGTCAACTCTATCAATAGTACCGTAAAATTGCAGTGTTTACAACTTTTCTTAGAACTGTACCCCCACTTTTTGTATATTTCTTCCCTTGGGGTAACTCGAAATTCCGAAATCGTTCTAGAACCGTGAAAGTGGGGATAGAGCTCGAGAGATAAAGAGAAGTGGCACTATTAGTAGAGTTGATTGTATATCACTCTCTAAATCTAAACGTGGCTGACGTTTTGCTTCAGCAATTAGTAAAAAATAACTAATTGTTAGTAAATAAATAACTACAAAAATAGTCAAATTTCACTAACTGAATTAGTTACCAAACATTTCAGTTATTTTTACTTAACCTGAAAGCGAATTGAACTAATAAATAATTAGTTACTATATTAACTATTTCATTAGGAAAATAATACTAATTGAATCAGTGATTGACTTTTTACTATAAAATTAGTTATTTTCAACTAATTTAAATTTAGAGAGCTAAAACCTAAATAAAATCTACATTAAAGACTATATTAAAAACATGACTCGACAGTCAATAAACCGGTTGTATTCGGGAGAAGGTTTTCTGCAATTTTCCTCTCCCCTGTCCGAATGTCCAGGCAAATGCGAGTACTCTTAATTCAAGTCGGCTGCAGCCGCAAAAGTTTAATTAAACACTCCTAAGTGTTTGTGAGTTGTGAAAGTTGAGTAAAGATGTTGCGGAGATTATAAAAGCCGAAAGGCATGCAATGAAAATCTTACTTTACCTGAATGAGTATACATACAAAATTTAAAATAAATGTATTCACATTTGCCGAAGATACGATGATTTATGTTTAAAAACTTAATTAAATTTGAGATGAAAAAATTCTCAGTCTTTTGTTTTTATTATGACTAATAATTAATTTAAAAAAAAACTCCAAAGAGAAAAAAGTTGCGCTTTTTTGTTTTCTATACGGTAATGCTTTTCAAAAATTAAAATTTTGAGTTTCAATTTATTTCATTCTTTAACGATCTGATTGCCTTGAAAGCATTATCTGCCGAGCGTTATTTAAAAGATAATCTTTAAAAATTAATAAAAACTTTTTAAATATAAATAATTTTTGTTAATTAAATATCTTAATACTCATTGTTATTTATTTGTCTACAGAAATTAAAATTTCAAAATACTTTCAATGTAAAATCCTTGAAATTTAATTATTTCTAAAAATTCCTATTATGACTCTACACGGAAAAAAAAAGTTCGAAGATTATTCGGGAACTTCGTTCTTAACTCTTGGATACGGCGGGTAGTTCACAGAGAACTAAAGGTTGCCTCGTTTAAATATGTCATTTACTATTTCTCTACAAATTATAACTATTTCACCACTTCTCGGCAAACTGTTCTTGAAAAAGTCGGGAACTGTTCAAGAAAATCGAAAAGTTAGGCGAATGCAAGAAAAAATGGATTCTGCTTCCCCCCTCCCACTTCCCCTCTTTGACACGTCCGCACACACACACATTTATCCTTGAAGATCACATACAATTTTTATTTTTTATTAAGTTTCTGAAATAGAAAAAACCATATGAGAGAAAAATCGACGGCGGCTGGAACAGAACTCGCGTACCCGAGGAATAGAAGTCCGGCGTCTTATCCACGTGAGCTAAACAGGAGCGTTAAATACCTCAGCATAAAATAAATATATAAGGCACGCAAGTCTTACTGACGTTGAGACTGGTGCGCACAGTTTCTGCGCACCAAGATTCCTTGACGAGTTCCCGAAAATTTCAGAAACAGTTGCGGCCAGTGCCATGGACTTTACATGAGAAAGAAATGAAAAAAAGACTATTGGACTATTTACAGCTTTTTCTAATACAGTTCCCGAATTTCTTTCAAACATTCATTGATTACCATTGAATGTTCGACGCTAGTTCAGAGCTGTTACCACGTATCCAAGAGTTAGGAAATAATTCCTGAAATATCTGGGAACTTTTTTTTTCCGTGTAACTTCTAATAGCCACATTTTTACATTTGAAGCTATAAAATCAGAATTTAAAATTTGTTTCTCAAATTTACAATTGGTATTGAAAGTTTACTTATTAAGCTTGAAAATTCTTGAAGGAAATATTTTTTATCCCATGAAAGGACTAAATTATAAGAGTTTTACGAAAGCACTGCGAGTGGCTTTTTTGTACCTCCTGGTGGGGGGAAAAAGACACCTCGCGATTTTAGCAAAATATGATATTAATTTTGGTATTTTTATAGTTTTCCTTTATTTATATGACAAATAATCTTATTTTTAAAATATTTTAATAAATTTTAAAGATCTTTTAGCTAGCAAAATGGAATAATATGATAAGTTAACCTGTTTTCGATTTACACTGCCAATTTTTCGTACCTTTTCTAAAAGTCCTCTTTAAGTTTCACCACATGTACCATATTTCGTTGCAACCGTTTATTCATTGTTTATTTTTTCAGTGCACTTTGAACTATTTTTTCGTAGTGTTTAATTAATTTTATTAAGTAAACACGAGAAATTTTGTAAAATAAGGTTAGTGTAAGTAGAAAACAAATTAATTTCACATAATATTCAATGGATTTTTGTCCCTGGCTGTTTAACCTCCAAGACCAGTTTTTATAAAAGCGATAATGAATTTTGAATTTAGTTCAATTTCCAAAAACTAACATTGTATACACTTTGAGTATAGTTTTCTCCCTATGTACAAACATTTACTTTTATTACCCATACACATAAACAGGTTGTAATATGTTCGAAAAGTTCATCGAAATGTTTTGCGCAGAGCAACTCAAAAATTAAAATTACAATAAAAACTATAATACTATAGGTACAACATCCAAACTAGAATCAATAGTTGCGTATTACCTAAAAGTAAGTATTTATATTTTAAATAGCTGATAAATTGGTTTAATACTATGTTTTTAAATACCACTCAAATGGCTTTTTCACCCCATTCTACCCTAATTATTATTTTCTAAAATCTTTTACTGTAATTCTTTTTTAATTCACTTCTTATCAGAAAGTTATACAAGAGTTATCTAAACACAAAAATAAATCATTGAAAGAATTTTAATTAGTCCATTTAATGTTATCATAAATGTGTGATTTTTATAGGAGCAACGTGTGAATTTTTAATAAAAACCTAGTGAATTTCATTTCACGCAAAGATTTTATTTCGGAAAAGGATATTATTCTACTTTAAACATACATGTTGTTAACTCTATTATAAAAAAGAATTAATTTTTATAACTTGAAAACGTCCCAATAATTAATATATTATAAATGTGCAAGAAAAAACAAGTTAATAAAACAAATTTTAGGGTTATGTTCAGTAAATAGTTTTCTGTTGAAAATGCATATGATACTTGAATTTTCTGATAAAAATGTTAAATTTCCACGTTGCTAGCATGACAGCAGCTTTTCGGTTATATTATTACATACCCTACATGTATTATTTACCTTGCAATTGATGTGTTTTCAAACATAACCCTCAAAATAGGCTTGCTTTCTTCTGATAATCTCGATTTGTCAGATGATTCAATAATTGTAACATCCTCGTCAATGAGAACATAGCCTTTGGGTGCAACACCAGGAGGCAATGTTTCCTCTAAAGTAATGGATTTTGTTTGAGAAAGCGAACTAAAACTGTCGTTGCCTATCATCTCTTGAGTTGCATTACTATCATTAAATGTTGTTGACATTTCATCATCGCTGCATTCTCCTGACGAACTCATTGTGTAGTGAGTTTTTTATTCACGATAAACAATATTATAAAACTTATTCAACTTTGTTTGTATTTACATATCGAGCAACCTGAAGTAAGTAAGTACAAATATATGCAGTTATACGTTATACACAATTATACACCACTTCGAGATGAATCCACATATACCAAATTGAATTACACGAATGACTATTACGTCGAATCCACAACCTCAGAATCTGTATTGTTAGGGTGCGATCCCATGTATGCAGAATACGTCGACCGAAAGCAGAAAATCATGAGAGTGAAAAGAACAACAATATCTATCTATCTCTTTCGCACTCATGATTTTCTGTTTTCGGTCGACGTATTCTGCTGTAAAGTAGAGTCTACATTGGATGAACGCGAACGTTGCCGTGCTGACGTCACCCATTTGAATAGCATGGGTGACGTCAGACGTTCGCGTACACGTTCACGTTCGCGTACCATGGAATGTAGACTCTACTTAAAGTCGGTTCTACAATGGGCACGTCGGACGTGGTCGTCTGACGTGCCGTGCTGACGTCACCCATGCTATTCAAATGGGTGACGTCAGCACGGTACGTCAGACGTCCACGTCCGACGTGCCCATTGTAGAACCGACTTAAAGTAGAGTCTACATTCCATGGTACGCGAACGTGAACGTGTACGCGAACGTATGACGTCACCCATGCTATTCAAATGGGTGACGTCAGCACGGCAACGTTCGCGTTCATCCAATGTAGACTCTACTTAATGGGATTGCACCCTTAGGGTGGAGTCCCATGACAGCGTTTTGCGTTGCGTCGTAATGGGAGAGAAAAAGACGCAAATATACGTTTGCTGCATTCTCTCTTATTACAACGCAACGCAAAACGCTGTCATGGGACTGCGGCCTTATGCTGCCTCTACAATACGAAAAAAAAGTGAGAAACGCGTGACGCAGACGCGAAACGCAAAAAATTGCCATGTATTTTTCTCGCGTTTCGCGTTTGCGTCGCGCGTTTCTCACTTTTTTTTCCTTATGTAGATACAGCTTTAGGCTGGAGTCCCATGATAGCGTTTTGCGTTGCGTTTTGTAACTAGGCCATAAGTGTGAGAGAGACAGAGATATATGTTTGCTCTATTTGCACTCATGGCCTAGTTACAAAACGCAACGCAAAACGCTGTCATGGGATCGCACCCTTAGGGTGAAGTCCCAAGACAGCGTTTTGCGTTGCGTTTTGTAACTAGACCATGAGTGCAAATAGAGCAAACATATATCTGTATCTTTCTCACACTCATGGCCTAGTTACAAAACGCAACGCAAAACGCTGTCATGGGACTCCATCCTGCGGAATTTATTTTTATCGAATTTTAAATGTAAGGAAATTTTATTTTCTGGAATTAACATTTTACCGAAAATGAATATGAGAGAATAATTTATGATCGAATCGACATGTGCTGTAATTATAAATTATCATAATTTCTGTTTGTCTGAATTTTAACATAACCTAATTTTAAATGTTAGAATTCTTAAAGTTTGTAAGGAAGATGGAACCGAAATGTAATATAGAGTAAAGGCATTTTCATAGAATTAGTTTTGAGGATAATAATTATCTGGTTTACAGTGAAACCTAAACATTCTTTCCTGTTTGATGTAGAAAAAAATAGTAGAAGTTACTCAAATGTCTAAAAATCATCAAAATTGTCATGAAATTTCATCTTTAATCGACTGTAACTCTCTCAATTTTTGTTGAATTTTATATTGTGACCTATGGATCGAAAGATAATTTAATAACCTTTCCAATGATACCTCATTTATTATATTTTGACAAGCTAATTTTCCTACAGGTAAGTTTAAGTGGCGTCGCACCTCGAAAATGCAAAATTTGAAGCTACAGAAAAACTGCACGAGGGAAAAAAATTAAAACTATGATTTTCTTACTCAAAAAACACCTACTATTCGAAAAAAATTGTTTTGTTCGATTGGCAAAAAAAAGTTTTTAATTTGTAAACCTGTGTTATATACACGAATAATAAAGAAATCTATTTTCAAATGTAAATAATAACTGTTGAAACGAATTTGTTTTTCTAGATTTATAATCTGACATAATTTCTATTTGCACAAAAACATAATTAACAGAATTTAGAATGGTCGATTTTTCATTGTGCCGAAAGTTGAAATATAAATTAAACCGAATTTTATTTTAAAATTGACCAATCAAAATTTTCTTGATAATTTCTGAAAATTTTGATTGGTCAATTTTAAAATAAAATTCGGTTTAATTTAATTTCGACTATTTCAACTTTCGGCACTCTGGAAAATCGACCATTCTAAATTCTGTTAATTACTATAACGTTGTTATAATTTTTTAATGTTTAATAAAAATTAAAAATATTAAATATAAATTTGTTGCTAATAATAAATTATTAATTTTATATAATAAACAATTTCCATATAAGATTACATCAAGTTTGCGGCAACCTTTAGTGCAATATTGCAGCAAACTTGCACATGAAGCTTGCTATGAGTGGGACATTTTAAGCTTGTGGCAAGCTTGCTGCAAACTTGCACGTCAATATTGTCAATCTTGCACGGCAAGCTTGTCTCAAGCTTGCTGCAAGCTTACGTGCTGTCTGGGAAATTATGTCAGATTATAAATCTAGAAAAACAAATTCGTTTCAACAGTTATTATTTACATTTGAAAATAGATTTCTTTTTATCCCGGTACACTGAAAAAAATTCTTAGTAGATTTGACTACTTTTTAACTACTTTCCTTAGTTCAATAAGTCCCCAAAGATAATTTTGAACTTACATTAATTATCAGATATTTAGTTGAATGAAGTGATAATACAGTTGCATTAACTACTTTTCTTAGTTAAATAGGAACCAATGACAGTTTTGCAGTAGAATTAACTGCTGATATGTAGTTAAAGTTACTAAGATAACTCAGTAATAAAGTAACTACTGAAAATGGTAAAATAAAATTATTTATAATTTATTATAAATATTATCGAGTTGTATTTTTTTATATTTCCCCCTACCCACTTTTGTTTACCTATACCTTATTTATTTAATGTCTATATACCTAACGGAGAAAAATCTCTAAGCGTCGGGAGTTGAACGCTCGACCCTAACATTCGTAAACCGATAACCCAACCACCTAACCACGCTCGCCCGCTTCGATGAGTTGCTTAATACTTAAAGGCATTCCAGACACAGTTCAACTGATAACTGTAGTTAATTTTACTACTTAAAGTAGTTGCATTTACAACTTTTCACAGTTGATAATCTTCTATAAAAATCTATAACATAAATTACATGGAAAATAATTCAACTCCTAGAAGAAGTAAAAACTACTACAAAATTAGTCTATCGAACTACTTTAAGTAGTAGAATTTACTACTTTCTGTAGTCATTTCTATAACATACCTGCAGTTACAAAGTTAACTGTAAAATTACATTAATTTAATTAATAATTTTTAACTACATAAAACAGTTAAAATAAGTATTAAAAGTAGCCAGACTAACTAAAAAAGTAGTTCGTTTTATTACTTTTTACTCTACTAAGGGGATGTAGTTGAAAATGTCTCATGTATTTTTTTCAGTGTAAATAATTATTATCCTCAAAACTAATTCTATGAAAATGCCTTTACTCTATATTACATTTCGGTTCCATCTTCCTTACAAACTTTAAGAATTCTAACATTTAAAATTAGGTTATGTTAAAATTCAGACAAACAGAAATTATGATAATTAATAATTACAGCACATGTCGATTCGATCATAAATTATTCTCTCATATTCATTTTCGGTAAAATGTTAATTCCAGAAAATAAAATTTCCTTACATTTAAAATTCGATAAAAATAAATTCCTAACAATACAGATTCTGCGGTTGTGAATTCGACGTAATAGTCATTCGTGTAATTCAATTTGGTATAAGTGGATTCATCTCACCACTTCATTCCTTCAAGGAGAGTCCAGAATAGGGTTTGTGAACGTCGGTAGAAGCGCGTTGGTCACGTGACCTCCATATGGAATACATAGGACAACGCGTTAGTCAGGAAGGGAGAGTAAAGGCGCTCTCACAGCTAGTAGGCAGCATATAAATTTGAATTTACTGTCTCTTTCACTCTAATTGATTTTCTCTCTTACTCCAATTACTGCCTGCGCAGGCAGGCAGAGCTGTGAGAGCTCCATTAGGAGACCGAACTCTGTAGAAAGCGCTTTAAAAATCTCAGAGAAATATGCACGAAAAGTGCCAGGCTCACTGTGTTCTAGTCGACCTCCAATTAAGTTGATCATGCGCATAAGCTGTGTTGTGTCTCTGTTTCTCGTAAAAATTGTGCGAGTGAGATGTAAGATCTAATGTTTACATTTAGCTGGTCTTAGTGAGATACATACATATACAATACATTTCGTTTTAATAATTATTTATTTATTTTATTTAAAAAATGGCGTGTTGTGTGCCAGGATGTAAAGAAACAAAAAGAGTCTAACTCAGTAAAAAAAGAAGTATTGAGTGGAGCGTTTAGGAATTGAGTGAAGCTCTGAGCCAATACGGATTCGAGTAAAAACCGTATTGGGACGTTTGACTCAATCTTTTTTTCATCCGCCGAATACTGTCTTATTTTAGCATTAAAATTAAAATCACATGACCAGAGTACACATTATAAATTGAAAGCACAATTGTCCTGGAATGTAAAAATGCCGATTTCGATAAGAAACAGTGAATATTTGTTAAAAATTGGTAAAAGCAAAGTTTGACAAGCGCGACTGAATTTACCATGTGAATAAATGAATTGGTAAGTTTAAATGGACGAAAAGAAATCTACTGTTACCGACAGAAAGTTCCTAGAGAATTGTTAAACAATGAAATTTCATTGTTTTGTTGAATTTACCACAATTCTCTAGGAACTTTCTGTCGGTAACAGTAGATTTCTTTCAGTCCATTTAAACTTACCAATTCATTTATTCACATGGTAAATTCAGTCGCGCTTATCAAACTTTGCTTTTACCAATTTTTAACAAATATTCACTGCTTCTTATCGAAATCGGCATTTTTACATTCCAGGACAATTGTGCTTTCAATTTATAATGTGTACTCTGATCTTGTGATTTTAATTTTAATGCTAAAATAAGACCGTATTCGGCGGATGAAAAAAAGATTGAGTCAGACGTCCCAATACGGTTTTTACTCGAATCCGTATTGGCTCAGAGCTTCACTCAATTCCTAAACGCTCCACTCAATACTTCTTTTTTTACTGGGAAAAACATTAGTCTCTTCTATCCTTCTACGGTATGTAAATATACTCTAGTTATAAACACAATTCTTCTTAACCATTTTCGCAAAATTTTTCCCTTTTCATAAATATATTATTAAATTATTTTGAAAATCTAAATAATATCACAATTGCAAATAAATAAATTTGCTTTTAAAATTAACACTGTTTAAACTATGTAATATTTACCTTGACATAACCACACTTTTCATCTATGTCAACACTGAACTTTAGTTCAATGCGCATGATCGACTTAATTGGTGATCAACTAGAACACAGTGAGTCTGGCACTTTTCGTGCATATTTCTCAGACATTTGTAGAAGCAGAGTTCGGTCTCCTTACTCTTCCTTCCTGACTCTCCTTCAAGGAGGGTCCACACTGAAAAACTGTTAGGAGAGCTGTTCGCCCAATGCGGTGAACTGCTGCGTTAAAAAGAAACGCACAGCTCACTTTATTTTTGGGCGAGTTACTCTCCTTTTTGGGCGAGCAACTCTCCTTTTTGATAGAGCTGCTGCCCTTTTTGTCAAGCAGCCGCTCGCCAACGCCATTGGTAGTCAAGTTTAGGAGAGCAACTCGCCTAATTTTGATAGAGCTGTGAGTTTAAAGTTAAGTAGCGCTGCACAACAGTCAATAGTGGAACTGCTCTACCAACAGTTTTTCAGTGCAGAATAGAGTCGAACGCGCTGATAGTAACGCGCTCGTCCATCGCTTCCGTATCCATAAAGGCCTTTCTCCAATAGGTTCCCAAAACTCTGTGTCTGCGTCGGTTGCTATAGCAACACATGCTAAAATCAACGCAACGCAGTCATTCGCACACTTTTTAAAACCTATTCAGGAAGGAGGAGTAAGGAGACCGAACTCTGTCTCTGGACTCTCCTTCAAGCTAAAACGACATTAAGGCCTAAGCACAACTGGTTCAGTTTCGGGATATGGGCTTCCAAACCTCAAAATATATGTAAATCTAAAGGCCTTTCTCCAATAGGTTTTAAAAACTCTGCGCTGCGTCGGTTGCTATAGCAACATATGCTAAGGGCCAGTTTCACCAACTGGCGGTTAAGCTTGGTTCAACTGAACTCGTTCAACTCTTGATCGTCAGAGTTAACCGCTAGTGCGTTTCACCAGCCTAATCCCAGTTTAAAATGAACGCGTTTAGTTAATCTACATTCCCTAGAATTTCCTAGTGGTTATGGCGCTTAAATCTAACCACAGAATGTAAATAAACAACTGAACTAACCTAAAATATAAATGTCGCATAGGTTCTTTTGAGCTTAATATCTATTATTTTAAATTAAAACCTTAATAAAAAATGAGTAGTAGAGTAAAAAACAAGTTGTTCTTTTCATGATCATTTAGCTTCCACAATATAATATATACCAATTGCTTAATTTCTTATTCTAGAATAATTATTTAAAAGTATTTAAAAAAATTTCAAAAAATACAAAATTTGAATTTTTTGTTAAAAATAAAAATATCGTTCGATTAATTTTATAAATATTGATAAAATATATACTTTATATACATGAATCGATTCGTTTTCATGGCAGAAATACAATTTTGACAAGAGTAAATGAAAATTTTAATAAAGAAAAAAGTTATTTCAAAAATTACAAAATTTAAATTTTTTGTTGAAAGCAAAATTAGACAGAGAGAGCCAAACTTTTTTTAAAGTCCTTTTTTATATTTTCTTAATTTAATAACATAATAGTGCATACATATTTTGTGATTGTGGTGTAGTAGATCAGATTTGTAAATTTCAATACGAATGTCAATTAAATGACCATTTAAAATTTGTAAAGGCTTTTATATGAATATTTCTAAACATTTGTCAGATTTATTTTTCTTTTGATAAAATCCTTCTTTCTTTATATTTTTTTAATTTAATTTACATTTAATAAAGTTAAATCTGTTGAAACAAAGCATCTACATGCAATATTGTTTTGATAGTGGGTCAGTTTAGGATAGAATGCTTTGTATATATAATGATTCCACTTATTTTGTTAAGTAAATAATACACTGAATGTTAATTAATTTTTTATACCTATAGGTAGTGGTCCCTTAAGAAAATCAACAAATCGTAAAAGTTCGCACTGCGCTTCGGGAGAGTTCGGCAAGTTGAACGCGGTCAACTCTGCTTAAACCGACAAAATTCAGCGATTAAAATATAAACTTAATTCAACCGAGTTGAACGTGGTTAAGTAGATGGTGAAACGTACGCAGAGACTTGATCTCGTTCAACTCATACTTTGAACGAGTTCAGTGCTTGAACTAGTTTGGTGAAACTGGCCCTAAAATCAACGCAACGCAGTCATTCGCAGACAAACGCAGAGTTTTTGGATCCTATTGGAGAAAGGCCTTTAAGCTGCGGTTAAGGTGCTTCTATACCTCCGGTGGATTGGTCAAGCAATCGGCTCGATGAATTTTCACGGTCGGAAAATGTACTTTCATGGCGGGTATTTTTGAATAAGTAAATGTTGAAAAGGTTTTTACTTGAAAATTTATTTAAAAAAATGATTTTATCATAGAAATTCTTTTGAAATTTATGTTAAAAAACATGTTTTATTTTAAAAGTTATCAAATTTTAATTCAAAATGTTTTAATTTTCCAAAGAAGTGTAAAAAGCCTAATGTTTTTGAAATGCTAGTACAGACGGTACAGACTGTTTGTTATGAATGTACATAACCTAGCGTTGTGTTGTCGTGCTTGTGATATTATTATATTTTAAATTTAATGATTTAATTATATTAAATAATAATGAACAGACAACACAACGCTAGGTTATGTACATTCATAACAAACAGTCTGTACCGTCTGTACTAGCATTTCAAAAACATTAGGCTTTTTACACTTCTTTGGAAAATTAAAACATTTTGAATTAAAATTTGATAATATAATTAATATCTACTCACACATTTCCTATATTACAATTTATTAATATCATTTAATAGTATAATATATATTGTCAACAGTAAAACATAACCACACTTTCCAACTCGCACGTCAAAATAATTATCTCTCTCATCGTTCTTTCAAGAGTGACGAAGATAGTTGCAAACTGCACATGCGCGTTATTTTTGAAAAGTCATTACTACACTGTAAAAAAATCTGGTGTAAATTTACTATGTCCGACGTTGGAAAGTTTGGTCACTATGTCCGACGTGGTATTTTTACACGCCGACTGTAATCTACATAACCTGCAAATATTTTTTGAAATAATATTTTCAGTCGTAACTTTTTGTATTTATGAAATATAGCCCAAAACTTTTTGTAATATTATTATTTACTTATGAATTAGCATATACTTTCTATAAATGTACATTATATACACTTTTTTAGAGTTATTTATAAAAACTTGAAAATTTTTCGAAAATCTTAAAGGAATAAGAAAATTACATTCGCCATGTAATTGTACAGATCGTGCGACGTAATATTACGTCAAAGTGTAGAAATACACGCAATGTAAAAATACCACGTCGGACATAGTGATCAAATTTTCCTACGTCGGACGTAGTAAATTTACACAAAACTATTAAATTACATAGTCGTATAATGTAAAATTATTAAAAATAGTAAAACTACTTTTGGAACGAAATAAATTTACTACGTACAACCTATAATTTTGATGTGTGAAATTACAAGTTTTGTGTTATTTTACACCAGATTTTTTTACAGTGTACTCAGGGTGCAATCCCATTACAGCAGAATACGTCGACCGAAAACAGAAAATCATGAGTGCGAAAGAGATAGATAGATATTGTTGTTCTTTTCACTCTCATGATTTTCTGCTTTCGGTCGACGTATTCTGCATACATGGGATCGCACCCTCAGTGAACCAAGGCAGAATTCTGGCACCAGTCTGACTAGGGGATACGCTGGAGAGCAGTCTTCTTATTATTACTCCGTGCCCGAAACCGTCTCCCGCGAAACCGAACCAGTTGTGCTTAGGCCTTTAGCAGAAACATCGATATCCATTCTGTCCAAGATTTCACTGAGAAATCGATTAAAAAAATCGAATCGGAAAGTCGAAATTGTCGATTTTTAAGAATCGAAATCGAAAATCCCTAGAGAAGAAGGCTAGGTTAAAACGTAATCAAAACAATAATTATAATATTAAAAAGAAACAAAATTATATTAAGAAGCTTGTTATCTACAATTATTGCTGGAGTTTCTTGTTAAATCAGTTTGAATAATACTACATGTTGATAGATATTGGCATATCTATAGTAAACATGGGAGGAATGACAGTTTATCAATTTCTGTAGAAATATAAATGTATAAATAAACTTTAACAATATTTACAATGGCTGTGTGTATTGCTGTTATCGGTAAAGATGTAAGTTTTAGTATTTATATTTTCTCGTAAACAATCTACCTTGTTGAAAATTCATATACAAGATCATGTACAGGGAGACTACCAGTGCTTTCTTATTTCGAAGTGACTATTTGGCCCGTCGGCGGGCCATATAAGCTACTTTTTTTATTTGGCCCGCCTGCTTTTTTTTAATATTTCAAAGCGGGCCAAATAATAAAAGTAACTTATTTGGCCCCCCAGTAAGAAACGAAAAATTGAAAAGGATTGAAATAATTCAAACTCTGTATGGTGTAGTAGAAATTATCCAATACTTTTGAATGCTATTTCTGTCCAATACTTTTCTATACCATGATAGGACCACGTTTCGTCTAAAAATGAATGCTATTCAATTCTTTTTGTAATTTTTAACAAAGACAAAATTTTTTTCTGAATGCTTTCCAATCCCATCCGAAATTATTACAGCCTGTCATTATATCACTTTTCAATTTTTCATTGGAACCGCGTTTCTGCATGCATTCAAGCAATCTTCTGGATTTTTGTAATTTATAAGATACATACAGTGGCAGATTTTGTAAAAAGTGTTTGTGTTCAAAGAAAAACTTGCTGAAAAATTGATTGTTTACCAATTTAACGTCATTTAAACGAGTCAGGGCCTTTATTCTGTTAGACAATAAATCATAACCTAAAAATTTCAGAGACCTTTAAACACTTTTAACCCTCTTAACTGATAATTTAATAATTATTCCTTTTTAAAATAGCAAATAAATTCTTGAGTGCAGTTATTTGAAAGTAATTGAACATTCTATATGTCAGCAATATTAGTATTATATTATTATACTACTGTCGCGGAATTCAGAAGCATAGGGCAGAAATGGTATTCAAAAGGATAGAATTTTTTTAATGCTTCTTAATCTTTGCTTTCTTACTGGGTATTCAAGAGGATTGATATCGTTACTTTTCATATTGCTCTCACTGGATAGAAAAGTATTTGACAGAAATGGCATTCAAAAGAATAGAATCTTTTTAATACTTTTCAATTTTTCGTTTCTTACTGGCCCGCCAGGTAAGAAAATAAAAGCGGGCCAAATAGAGAGTGGTATATTATTTGGCCCGCCACAAATAAAAATTGCTTTTTTTTATCTGATCTTCAGTTAATATCGTGAATTAATTTTTTTTTTTTGCTTTAAGAATGCAAATAATATTTTTTTTGTGTTATTAACCTTAAAACACTTATGCGTAAAAAAGTGGTAAGCATCCCAAAAATTGTCTTTATTAGCGGGAATTTTAAATCAAAATTTTTCTCCTTGTTAGATCAAAATTATTTGTTCAATTTATATTCTTTTTTGAAATCATATTAATTTGCAAAAATTGTAATATACATTTCATAAAGTCAAGATGAATGAAAACCTTTTCAATCGCCTTCTTTTATATTCTTGAAATAATCATTAATTTATGATAAGTAATTCAAATAAAAATAAATTTTGAAACTTAAGAGTTAGTTAGTGCTCAAAATAAGTAATAATAAAATATTTTTTCTTATAGTGTTAATTGATTGTCCATCAAAATTTACACATTTTAATAATATTTTTCTGGAAATTTTTAAAATATATTTTAAATTATATATGACTAATAAATATTAAGTATTTTCAATGTGCTTTATTATAATATTATGTAGAGAATTTTATATTTTATAATGTAGAAATTTTAATGCATCAAAAGTGTTACACCCAGAAAAAGCTTCTTTGTTTCAAAAAAAGTTTCTTTGAATCAACGAAATTTGTGCATTGTTATAGGGTCAAAAAAGTTTCGTTGATTTAAAGAAATTATTTCTTTAACTGTTTTTTGTTAACGCAGAGAAATAACAAAAAACTTTTTTCGTATATTTATTATTTTATTACATTCTCATCACATGAGAAAGTATTAGTTTTGGTCGAAAATTGACTTTCGCTAATTTCATGAAATCTCGACGTTTTGGGGTCCCCTGAGTCCGAAAAACATGGTCTAGAAAAAGTGTCTGTCTGTATGTCTGTCTTCGTGTCTGTCTGTAGACACAATGGTGTCGCCACGATAACACAGTTGGGCTGGTCTGACCTTTTTTTAACATTTCAATTTTTGGTCCTATCTTGTTGGAAATGGTTTTTTACATTCTCATCACATAAGAAGGTATTAGATTTGGTGAAAAATTGACTTTTTATACCTCAGGCACAAAATAGGCGCTTTTAGATAGCATCCAACAGGAACTAAAAGCCATTCATTTGTCCACTTGAATGAAAATGGCGACCTTTTTTTCCCATGGGCAAAAAAAACAGCTAGTACCATGCGTTACTTTTGCTCATGGAAAAAAGGCCGCCATTTTCATATAAGTCGAACAAGTGAATGACTTTTACTCCCTGTCGTCTGCTAGTAGAAAAACTGTATTTCACATATGAAAGTAACTTTTCAAAATTTTCATTTTTTCGTTCTAATTTTTTTAAAATAACTTTAAAAAAGAAACTAAAATCGCGTTTTAAGCTTGAAACATTTTTTTAGGGTCAATTTGAGATTTTTGATTCACACTTACTGTATTGATAAAAATTACAAAATATTTCCCAAGTACCCTTAGGGCGTGTTGGCTAATGCAAAACGCTATGCATAAAAAGCAACCTACGATACCGACGAAGTGTTCGTTCATTGTAGAAAAAAAGTAAGAGTAATTTAGGGACGTTCGTTTTTTTAAAAGAAAGCTGAGATGCCAGAGTAACTTTTCTAGGAGATAAACACTTAATTAAAACAAAAATGTCCGAGTACATCAACAAAGAGTGAAAAGTCAGCCATTACGCTCCGGTCTACACTACACAAAAACCTTGATACTAATACTTTTAGAATATTTTATCTGCTTCTGCAAATCATGTTTCTGCTAAGAGAGTTAGTATAATTAAAAATAACTTTACAATTTAAATCATCAAGACCAAAAATATACATTTAAATCCACTTTATCTCGCAATCATCAGCAAACAAAAACATGTGATGAGAATGTAATCCTTAAAGTCGTAGTAACTTTAAGAAAAAAAAATGTTTTATGAAACATTTAATAGGAAGCAAGAATAATAACACAAATAATGCACAACAATTGCAGACCAGCGCGAGCCATTTGCGCGCGAAGCGCGCAACATCACACGGAGCGCGAAGCGCGACGTGTAAAATAATCGCCGGAGCGCGAAGCGCGACGATCAATATTCGCGCGCCCCGAGGCGCGCTGAAACTTGCGAGCGAAGCGAGCCCCCGCGCGAAGCGCGGATGAGAATGTGTCCGCGCTTGCGCGGGCAGATTTTTTTTTTTATTTTATTTATTTACTTGTTTTCAACACTTTACGTGTATACAAGTGAGTTGCGCTACATATTCTTACATTTACAAGATAAAATTAGATGCTACAAATATTAAAATTAGGAACACTCGATTCACACAATTATTAGATTTAAAATATTCAATTCCATTCAAAAAGAGAAAAAAAAAAAAAAAACTACAATTTTCTTTTATTCTAAATTGAATTACTTTCATTTATTCTCTCATTCGTATTCGCTCAGTTAAGATTTTCGAAATAACATTAACAAATTTCTTTATGGTTGAACGCTCATTCGACGAGATTACATTATACCATTCCCCTGCCGGATAAGGATCATTTTTTCCATAGGCGAAAGCATCTTGTACCAGATGCGCACATGCTGGGCAGTTATTTAAGATGTGAAAAAGATTTTCCGGCCCAGTTCTACAGAATTCGCAAATTTTATTCTCAGGGAATTTATACAATTTCTGATCAAAGATCAGTCTAGTGTTAAACCTATTAAGCAATCTGATCTGCGTAAAAAGTTTTTTGAAATGCAGAGGTATGTTAATGTCCAAGTAGCTCCCCGAATTCTGCCGCGGTTCTAAGAATGGATAAATCAAAAGGCTCTTCGATGCTTCCACATTTCTTTTGTCTCTATCTTTTACAAAATTTAAAAATGAGTCCATTACTTGTTGGTCGTTTAAATTATACCGATCAAAATCTAAATTGTTCCAAATATATGACAGTCCACTTGGATCGAATAGAGAATTTTTTAGAGATATAAACCAATTTAATTTATTTTTATTAGAATTTTCCTTAGCCAGCTTAAGTAATCTTTCCGCACACTGTCTTGGCAACCGAGAAGAATTCATCCGTGAAATTTTTTTTAACCAAGACAGTGTGTTTTTAAAGACTGAATAAGCCAGATGCACAGCACCAGATTCGAGCCTTACCGCATAATTTGGCGTGTTCATCGGCAAATTCAATAGTTTTTTAATAAAAGTTAGTTGGATCCTCTCTATTGATTCAAGTAGACCAGTGGACCAAATCTGACAACCATATAGGAGGATACTGACCGCCAAACTCTGAAACAATCTCATACAAGAACTCCACGAATTTATCGTTCTCAAGATTGAGCCCACGGCAGTATTCGCAGAGCTAATGAACTTCTTTACAGCTGGTATAAATGAGCAGGAGTTGTGGAAGGGGACACCTAAATACGTATATTCCCTTACCACCTCAATTCTCTCTTCCCCATACGCAAAAGATTTAAATTTTTTCGCTTTAGAGTTTCCTGATTTTGTGAAAATAACAATCTTTGTTTTTTCTGCGTTCACACTGATCTTATTTAACAAACAATAGTCATAGAGAGCGTTTAATTTTTTGGCAAGTTCAGCAGGCGAGTCCGCAAGAAGGACGTAATCGTCTGCGTATCCGAGCATTTGTACTTCTGTGGAGCTGTTGATTGAAATACCTCTACACCCCCTATCTACCATGAATCTCTCCATGTCCGAGTTGAACAATAAGAACAAGCAGGGGCTCAGAGATTCTCCTTGAAGAACTCCCCTAGTGACCCTTACCTGTTCTGTAGTTCCCTCGTCAGATCTAATATAAGTTCGTGAATTACTGTAAAAATCCCTGATGATATTTATAAACCTTTTGCTCAAACTTAATGAAAACAGTTTACTCCATAAAATATCATGTGTGACTGAAGGGAAGGCCCCTTTAAAATCAATAAACACAGCATATACAACAGATCGCGGATTTCTCAGGTGAATCTGGATGGCAGAAGAAAGACAAAACAAATTGTCTAAACAGCTTCTACCACCCCTGAATCCTGCCTGAGACTCCGGGATCAGATTTTGTTTTTCTGACCATGACATCAGTCGCGAACATAGAATCTGTGTGAATGTCTTGGGTAAGGTATTTAGTAGTGAAATTGGTCTATAATTATCTGTAAGATGGGGATCCCCTTTTTTATATAACATGATCGTTGCTGAATTTCCCCAATTTTTTGGGACTTTTTGAGTAGATAAAATTTTATTAAAAAGTAGATTTATAAATAATAACCAATTTTGGGGTAAATTTTTTAAAAAACCATAACTTATATCATCCGGACCTGGGGCCTTCCGTTCCCCACTCCTGGCTAAACTACTTACAATTTCTTCGAATCTAATATCCTGATCCAACTCCGGAACTTCTTGTGTTAACTGCGCTAATCTTATTTCCGTGTTGGACGGCAATACAGGGAATGAATTAACCAGATATTTATGCCAAGCATCCAACTTTATAACAGAATGGTGATACACTCGTGGACGAGATTTGTTTATTGCCTTCCAGAAATGAGTAGAATTCCTGCTGTTGTTAACAATTTCTATAAGAGTTGATTCGTAATTTTTTTTCTTTTCCTTCAACATCTTTAAATATATATTTTTTTCTCTATAATATTTATCTTTAAAAGGCTGTGAGAATTTCTCACCTCTGGAAAGTTGTAACAAATGCATTACATTCTTTTTTTTCATTCGGCTCTCTGCATCATGCCACGGTTTACAGACTGAAATTTTATTTCGATTAATCCTATTCGACATCCCCAATTTCATTGCTACTTCTCTAATTCGTATATTTATTATAATTAGTATAACAATTCTTTTCAAATAACAGTTTTCACGAAACCATAACATTGAATATTATATTTATTATGTTATAATATCATTTATTGTTTTACAATAATATTTGTATTTACTATATATATTTTTTTAAATAAAATATTTATTTTTTTTAATTAACTTTTTAAAGCAAACTACTTTTAGAAGAAATTTTGATCCAAAGAAAAATTTCTTTAAGACAAATAAATGGCCAAGAACATTTAAAGGAATTATCTCTTTGGTTTATTTATGTCTTTGACTTAAAAAAAGATTTGTTAAATCCAAAGAAATATTTCTTTGAGTTAACAAAAAACAGTTAAAGAAATAATTTCATTAAATCAAAGAAACTTTTTTTGTGACCCTATATCATTGCACAAATTTCATTGATTCAAAGAACCTTTTTTCTGGGTGCAAAACTTTTGTTATTAATGATTATTTCAAGAATATAAAAGAAGGCGATTGGAAAGGTTTTCATTCATCTTGACTTTATGAAATGTATATTACAATTTTTGCAAATTAATATGATTTCAAAAAAGAATATAAATTGAACAAATAATTTTGATCTAACAAGGAGAAAAATTTTGATTTAAAATTCCCGCTAATAAAGACAATTTTTGGGATGCTTACCACTTTTTTTACGCATAAGTGTTTTAAGGTTAATAACACAAAAAAAATATTATTTGCATTCTTAAAGCAAAAAAAAAAAAATTAATTCACGATATAAAAAGCAAAAAATATGTTAATGCACTTACTATTATTTCTTTTATAGTTAATTTTATTATTAACTGAAGATCAGATAAAAAAAAGCAATTTTTATTTGTGACGGGCCAAATAATATACCACTCTCTATTTGGCCCGCTTTTATTTTCTTACCTGGCGGGCCAAATAAGTTACTTTTATTATTTGGCCCGCTTTGAAATATTAAAAAAAAGCAGGCGGGCCAAATAAAAAAAGTAGCTTATATGGCCCGCCGACGGGCCAAATAGTCACTTCGTTCTTATTTTGCCTTTGAAATCTTACTGATTATTATTAGACAAATTCCAAGGCTATTCTTCAAAGCAGTATGAATAAGAAGGTTCCAATCATAATTTTGACACCTATGTTTACTTTCATACACCATCAAAGATAATTTGTCAATGATCCCATTGTGGACCAATGTTTTCATCGGTCGTGCTTATATGCTGCTCCAGTGGCGCATCACTTAAAAAATCTTACAAAAATACATAATAAACATTATTTATTTATTTGTACACCCGTCTTCAGCCTACATAACTTGGCTGTACAAATACAATTTTTCTCTTACAAATTTCTTATACTTAACCTTATACTAATTTTACGTCTACAGAACGTCTTGAAATTAGGAGTACTCGCATTTGCCTGACAATAACAATAATAAAAAATGCACTTATCGTGTGTTAAGTGCATTTTTATGTTTTTATAATTTTATTATATGTAATATATAATATTGTGGTGCCCTTGTTTTCGGTCACCACAAAAGTAATTAATAAACACATTGTTCGTTTTAAATTAAAATTTTTTTTTTAATTGCAATATTGATCTGTACACCTCTCTTAACAATTAAATTGCTGCTCGAGCGTAGTAATCAAAGTCGGAAAAGCTACTTTCCGCATCAAGTGTACTGAGGGTATACTTGTGAAAAAAGTACTTTTCCATACATATCAACGCCTCCAGACAAGATAATGTTATTTCAAACGTCAGTTCAGTATAAGTTTATCGCAAAAACGAATGCAAGATGAAGTTAACTCACAAATTAATGCAAGACCATACTTTAGCCACACCCTGTATATTATTAACATTTTTTAATATGATAATTAAGGAGGTTCACTGAAAAAAATAATATCCAGAATGTGCTTTTTACTCAGGCAATTTTTGCCTTAACTAAGGCAAAAATTACCTTTTTTTAAGGCAAAAATTGCCTTTTTTAAAGAAACAATTGCTTTGCGTGCATTGCTTTTGTTCTAAGGTAAAAATTGCCTGAGTAAAAAGCACATTCTGCCCAATTTTTTTTCAGTGTTTATCAATATTTCTTCTATTTTTACTCCTTTCCCCACTTGTTGTCTTGGTCCTCTCCACACTAAAAAAAAATTTGGCGTTGCTGCCACCTTGCTCTCTTGTTTTGTTCGATTTTTCCGAAATCGCGAGAGCACTACAATGACCCAAATTCGGTGTCACTGCTTAACCTGTCATTGGTGATGATTCTCAAAAGAAGGGAAAGCTACTCTTCCGTTTTCGGGGCGGTACCGAGAAAGTTAACGGCCAACGCAGAATAGGTTCCCGAACCTGAAGAATAATGAGAAAGAAAAAGATACAAATATATTTCTGTCCTTTTCCAACTCATGTTTTGAGTTTGCGAATGATGCATATAGCTATATTTGCATATAGCTCTCGAAACGCGGGAAGGCTATCTTGCCGTATGTTCGGGATCGCTGCTAGCGATCAGGTGTCAGAAACACCGAATATTTTTCAGTGTAGTATCATTTTCATCTTAAAAAAAAATCATTTGCCTTCACTGATTATTTATTAATCATTTGAATTTTACATTTAGAACTCTCCAAAATATATAAGATGTGTGAACGACGCAGATGAGTTAAAATTTCATTACAAAGTTCACACAGCAATTGATATTATAGAAGAAAAATTAAATCTTGGAAACAAAATCGCAAATGACGTTCGAGAATTATTTCTTGGAATGCTTTATTCTACAGAAGATTATAAAATGTAAGTTTTATTATTACTTTGAGTAGTCAGATACATTTATTTTAATTTTGAATAGGCGTAAAAGCATGTGAGGCAGAAACAATTTGTTTGTTACTAAACATGTATAATATTAGCATAAATACGCTTAAGCTTTTGTAAGTTGCAAAAAAATTTCTAAGGTTTTTGAAGGTGTCCGGTTATTGTCTTTTTAGGGTTCCGTACACCGTAGGTGTACTGACGGAGCTCTTATGAAATCACTCGTGTGTCCGTCCCAGACACGCAGAATAGGCTGTCCCCCCTCCCCCTTAACTTCTACATATCTCAACCTGGTGAGCTGAAATTCGGTACAGATACGTATTTTCACGTCTAGATTACAGGAAAAATATAGCGAATCGGATTAAAAGTCATGGTTACGAACTAGCACTCAATAAAATAAATTTTTTCAGAAAAAATTACGACACATGACTCTGTCCCCCCACCTTAACTTCTACATATCATGACCTAGTGAGCTAAAATTCGGTACACATACTCAACTTTAAGTGTAGATTACAGGAAAAATATAGCAAACCTTAATGGATGTCATATTTGCAAACTAGAAAGGAAATAAATCAAATTTAAAAAAAAAAAATTCAAAAAATGACCATGCCCCCCCTTAACTTCTGGATATAAGAACTTGGAGAGTTGAAATTCAGTACACATACTCATTTTTAAGTATAGATTACGGGAAAAATATAGCGAGCCTGATTGGAGATCATATTTACGAACTAGAAAGGAATGAAATTTAATTTTTTCGAAAAAATGTCAAAAAATGATTTTGTCCCCATACCGAACTTCTACATATCGTCACCTATTGGGCTAAAATTCGGTACACATTTAGATTTCCAATTGTAGATTTGTGGAAAAATTTTAGCGAACCTGATTGGGGGTCATATTTACAAACTAGAAAGGAATGAAATTTAATTTTTTTGAACCCTCGATTTTAGTGCGAGTGTAACTCGCACTTGTCCGATTTTTTTTTACTTGCACTGTAAAAAATAAAAAAATGTAATATTACAACTTTACAGCTATATCCTATTTTACATCAAACTTAAAACGTCCATTTCTCTTAATCCAAAATTCATTTTTTAAAATTTATTTAAAATTTTTTTATTTGTTATTAATTTTAAAAAAGTAACAAAAATTAGTCAATGAAAAAATTAAAACTATTTTTAGTGTTAGAAAAATTGTTAAATCTCAGTTTTTACAAAATTTTTCAAGTCCTTTAGACTTTAAAACATTGGATGAAACAAAAAACAAATTTTATTATTATTATCGACGGGTTTTTACTAACATTTAAAAATTAATCAACAATTAATGAATTTTTCATTTTTCATTATGTTATCGTCTTCTATGAACCCAAATGCGTTTGTATACTCTGAGATCTTTGAATCTAAACATTTGAAAATCTAAATTGCATTGTTCTGACGTCAAAATATATTAATCACAGACCCCAAAAATACCACGAACGATTAACAAAATATCGTCTGCATACCCAATTGCATGATACTCTGACTCAGTTAAGAGTCTCAGTAGTTCATCCACTACCAAGGACCAAAGCAAAGAAGATTTAAGATTTAATAAAGCAGAAATAGGGTGTCTACCCTGGTTAAAAAACCGGACAGATTTCGGACTAATCAAGAATTTGTCCGCAACAGCACGGTTTATTGTGGAGTTTTTTCACCCTGAATTAAGTTTGAAATCAATCGTTTTTTCATAACTATTGAATCCGTAATTAGTCCGAAGTTAGTCAGATCATATGCAACTAGTAAATGCAGAAGTAATCTGGTTATGGTCAGGTTTTTGTCATACGAAATTTTAATTATAGTTTGAATTTATCTGAATTTAATACAAATTGTTTTTTAATTGGATCAAGTCCAGGTTATTTCGGATTATTCCGTATATATATTTTAGATGAATTTTTTAACGGACATAATTTTGGATTGTTGCGGAATAATTACAAACTTAATTCATAGACATTCAAGATTACTCCAGACTGATTTATTATTCATAATTTCATCCATTCATTCACGACGACAGGTTGATTTTCTCCGAACAAATAACGCAAGTTGTAACTTCAGCCTCGAAAGCCTTAGAATTTTTAATAGGGTCAACTAAGTACTTTAAAAATTTGTCAACAATAATAAATTGATTAAAGTTAAAAGAAATGAATTTATTATTCGGTAATTAAATATTAAAGGTGAAAGAAGTTAACAATTTTCCCGAATCAATCTCACAAATAAATAAAATCTCTTAAGGGGGCAACCCTAGTTGTAGCGCGCAAAAATTGACCATTTTCATAAATTAAATAAAAAAAAATCCACTAACATTTTTAAATAACACTGGTTTACAGTGAAATTGCCAATTGAACAAAACATTTTTTTTTCGAATAGTAGGTGTTTGTTGAGTAAGAAAATCATAGTTTTAATTTTTTTCCCTCGTGAAGTTTTTCTGTAGCTTCAAATTTTGCATTTTCGAGGTGCGACGCCACTTAAACTTACCTGTAGGAAAATTAGCTTGTCAAAATATAATAAATGAGGTATCATTGGAAAGGTTATTAAATTACCTTTCGATCCAAAACATCACAGAATAAAATTCAAAAAAAATTGAGAGAGTTACAGTCGATTAAAGATGAAATTTAATGCCAATTTTGATGATTTTTAGACCTTTGAGTAAGTTCTACTATTTTTTTCTACATCAAACAGGAAAGAATGTTTAGGTTTTAATTTTTTTATTGATAGACTATATCATTACACAAATTTTGAGTCCTTGTGGACCTCGATTGGATTAAAAATGACAATTCTACACTAAATTTAGTGAACGAAACTACATTCTTCATTTTTAGTATCCCTTAAACCTTTGCACCAAAAATTCAAGTAATAAAATTTGGTAAAGCGCTAAAGTTACTGAAATCACTAATCAAGAGTTTCTGAAGTCGTAGATTTCGAATGCAATATTAGTTTTGCAAATTTCAAAATGGCGGATCCAATATGGCGGACAAGTTTTCAAAAATCGATGAAATTCGTCTCAAATTCGTTACTCGGGGGTTTTCGGGATCGCTGATTACGAATCTGATGTCAGATTTCGAAAATTAAAAATGATGGACTCATAATGGTGAACGAGTTTTTTAAAATCCATCGAATTCGCACCTATTGGATCCGCCATTTTTAATTCTTGAAATCTGACATCGGGTTCGTAATCAGCGACCCCGAAAACCCCCGAGTAACGAATTTGAGACGAATTTCATCGATTTTTGAAAACTTGTCCGCCATATTGGATCCGCCATTTTGAAATTTGCAAAACTAATATTGCATTCGAAATCTACGACTTCAGAAACTCTTGATTAGTGATTTCAGTAACTTTAGCGCTTTACCAAATTTTATTACTTGAATTTTTGGTGCAAATGTTTAAGGGATACTAAAAATGAAGAATGTAGTTTCGTTCACTAAATTTAGTGTAGAATTGTCATTTTTAATTCAATCGAGGTCCACAAGGACTCAAAATTTGTGTAATAATATAGTCTATCAATAAAAAAATTAAAACCTAAACATTCTTTCCTGTTTGATGTAGAAAAAAATAGTAGAAGTTACTCAAAGGTCTAAAAATCATAAAATTGGCATGAAATTTCATCTTTAATCGACTGTAACTCTCTAAATTTTTGTTGAATTTTATTCTGTGACCTATGGATCGAAAGGTAATTTAATAACCTTTCCAATGATACCTCATTTATTATATTTTGACCAGCTTATTTTCCTACAGGTAAGTTTAAGTGGCGTCGCATCTCGAAAATGCAAAATTTGAAGCTACAGAAAAACTGCACGAGGGAAAAAAATTAAAACTATGATTTTCTTACTCAACAAACACCTACTATTCGAAAAAAAAATGTTTTGTTCGATTGGCAAAAAAAAGTTTTTAATTTGTAAACCTGTGTAATACAATTTATTGTCTAAAAGTACACAATTTAAACTACAAATTCCGATAAAAAATTTTTAAAAACATTTAAAAATGGAGGCGTGGTGCGCGATCTTGTCGAGGTCTGCAAAGCTGGTTCATCTGAACCACAAAATTCAAACGAATCTAGAAAGTAGAAGATAATCTAGCCTTTAATTGAAGGATTTATTTTTTTATGAAAAACTCTTTTTTTACAGCTGAAAAACATTTTTTTTTTGAAAATCGAAAAATTGAGTTTGAGCCGTTGCCATTTTGTTAAAAATGAATTTTTTTTTAATCTTCGATTAAAGACTAGATTATCTTCTACTTTAACTAAATTCGTTTGAATTTTGAGTTTTTTAAATTTTTTAACCCATGAGCTTATTAAGAGATTTTATTTATTTGTGAGATTGATTCGGGAAAATTGTTAACTTCACGGAGAAAAATGGAAAAATGATTTATGCAGTCAGTGTAGTAGGGGAGACTAGGTGCAGTTGTTATAATTTTGATAAAAATAGTTACTGTGCTTAGAGTTTAACTCCAATTTGTTTGGTTAAACGATTAAATCAAAGGTATATTATCTAGTTTTAAATGGCCATAATTGATTTAGCTCTATATCTATTATTTAATTAACTAGAAGCATTTGAGTGACAGCGTGTAAATTTTAACAACTGCACACTGAAAAAAAAGTGTTGTTGAATCAAATATCTCCATGCTATTGAATTCCCCGTCATTGATTCAATGACACATTTATTAATCGAAAAGTATATTGCTTAAAATGAAAAAATGAAACTGTTTAAATTAAAAGTACGGTACTGTAGAATTAATGATATTGTGCAAATTGTTTCTATAGTTCATCTATACATAGCAACAGAATAATTTATTGCTTCTTTGACATTATTCATTTGAAGCATCTAATAGATAAATTTGAAAAAAATGCATGTAAATTTAAATCAAATGAAAAATTGTTTGCTCTAAAGAAGCGCGCTCTGAAAACGAAAGCATATGCTTTCGTTTCAATGAGTGGTGCTATTGCGGACTGCCTATAGCATATG